CTGAACAGATTTCAGTGGAGCTTCCAGACAAAGATGAACCAGGAAGAAAGGCCCAATAATCTACTTCCAAAAATAAGCCAATAAAAATTCTATGGATCAGAGCAGTCTGACCCACAACCAATTGTGGGAACAGCACAGGACTGGACAACATTTCACGTCGCTGTGCATGGGGTTGCCATAAGTCGGGGGCCAACTCAACAGCAGCTGACAACAACAACAACCTTCTGATTGTGACGTTTGGTAAGGTGCGATGGGGAGAACTTGAAATTACACACTCAAAAGATTCTAGCTCTAGCTGTGGAAGTAACTAGCCCATTTGTCTTGTCTAAGCCTCGCCTTCCTGGTCTGTAAGATATCTACCCTCCCTACCTCACTGAGGAAACCCTGGTGGCATAGTGATTAAGTTCTATGGCCTGCTAACTGAAAGGTCGGCAGTTCGAATTCACCAGGTGCTCCTTGGAGACTCTATGGAGCAGTTCTGCTCTGTCCCGTAGGATTGCTATGAGTCAGAATTGACTCGACAGCAACAGGGTTTTGTTTTTTTGGTACCTCACTGAGGTGATGGGAAAGTCAAATTCAAGATGGAAGCATCCCTTTGTTTTTTATACGATTCTTCCAGGCTTCATGGAAAATAGAGGCATATTTTTAGGAAGGGATGACTTTCCCAAAAAGTTTTTGGGTGACTCCAGTTGGACATCCAGCCCTGTCATCTCTTCCCCTACAGCCTTTTTCAGGACACACCCTATGGGGTCATAGGGACACATTTCTCCTGTGCCAGGTAATCTGTACCTTTCTCCCCGCTTCAAATAGAAGCCCCTAGGTGATTCACAATCCCCGTTTCCCACCCATAACTGGCTGCAGAGTTCATACGGCCTGTCCCTGAAGTCTCAGGGCCTAGAAAAGCTGAATCTGAGATGGGAGGGCAAAGTTTTCAGAGCTTGTGGCTGTGCTCAGAACTTGGAGTTTTTTCAGGTGAGGGGGTCTCAGTGGGGAAGCTTAACATTTTGGGGACATCAAAGGCACTGGAGGGTTTAGGGGAAGTGCCTGGGATCCTGTAGGGGAGGATTTCCAGAGCAGCCTACAGGCCACTTCTGTACTGGAGTCACTTCACTCCATCTCCTCTTCTGTGACCAGGACAAGCTTCTTCCACAAACATGAGATGAAGGTCCTGAATTCAATCCTCATAATGGGGCATTGGGTCAGTGATATGTTCCTTGGGCAGAGACTAGCCATTTTTCCAGTTTAATTTTTGGATACTCGAAGTTTCTGGTGTGTTCCTTTAGGGACGATGGGAACCTGTTGCTAGGACCATGTAGGACCTTCTCCCCTGTCAAGCTTTGGCTTCTGAGGTGTGAATTCCTGTGAATCATTAACCCCGTTGCTGTAGCGTCAATTCCGACTCTTAGCAACCCTATTGGACAGAGTAGAACTGCCCCCAAAGGATTTCCAAGCAGCTGCTGGTGGATTCAAACTGCCAACCTTTCGGTTAGTGGCCCATCTTTTAACCACTGTGCCACCAGAGCTCCTGTGAATCATTGCTGCCATCTTATTTCTCCTTCTTAAAACGAGAATTATTTTGAGACCATACAAGCTATATTGTAGGCTAAACAGGTGAAGGGAGAAAAAAATAAAAGGGGATTCCAGGTGATCCAGGCAGTCCTCTGTGGGAAAGCGTATTGTGGGTCAGAGCATGGCTGTAAATGAATCAACATACATTACTTTTATATGTCCTCCTATCATAAGAGTATTTGGTATAACAAGAATGTATAAGCTGGAGGGGAAGACTCTGTGATCTATGTCTCAGATTTCTTTCCACTCCCTGGAGTCACTGCGTCACTGACCTTGCTCTCTGCCCGTGCCATCCTTCATCCTTCCAAAGTAAATAAATGGAGTTCTCCTCAGCTTTGTTTCTTAATTAGCTATCAAAATTTGCAGTGTCACCCAGACTTGGAAGGCCCCTTCGACACTGTTTTAAGAATGTGGGGTTTGCCCTGCCGTCCTTGACCAACTCTCCCCTCTTCGATCAGCAGCCTCCGAGATGAATGCAGCCACACACACGTCGTCTGCCCGGCGCCCACCACCAGTCTCGTAGATGGCGGAGCTCCTGGCCTCTGTTTGTATATAGAGCAGTCTGAAATGCATTCGGGATCTCTTGAGGTGAAAAGAGTTATATAAACAGAGAATGTTATTATGGATTCTTACTACAGATGGAAATGACTGGGTATTCTCAAAATAAATAACATTTCACATTTTTATAGATATGTAACATAATATGCATGTGTGCGTGAGTGTGTGTGTGTGTGTGTGTGTGTGTGTGTGTGTATTTATATTCTTCCCATCTTGAATACACAGCCTCTCCTTCTTCAGCACTTGGATAAGCCATTCATTTTGCCTCCTGCTTTTTTGATTCTCTTCTTAAGAATTCATTTAATTGTTGCCAGCATTTGGAGAGTTACGATGAAGCGGTTATAGGCTTCCTGCTAGCTCCCGCCAGATAAGCCTGCCGTGCCTATAGCAGTTACGATTGCTGAATGCTGAAAACACTTAAGTTCAGTTTTTCCACTTCCCCTCTAAAGAGAGATCAATCAGCTTGTGCCTCAGCGTAATTACCAATGGAAGCTTCCTAGAAGAGTGCCCAGTGGTGGAGGATTCAGTGTAAGGACCCTCGATTCAGAAGTCACCTGTTTGCATATTTTGGGGTTCCCCTTGCATTGAATCTGTGTGTTTATTTTCTCTGGATTCTGGAGGGCAAAGCATGCCATGTCTCGTCTATGTTGATCAGTAAAACGAACAAGCTAATGTAGGTAGATGAATTGATAGGATTATCACTTTTCGGAACAGTGCTGTTCCCACAAGGAAAATCCCAAGTATTGAGACCCCATGCCTAGGGTTTGCAGAGAAGAGCAAAGATGCCAAAGATTTATCCCAAGCCAAGGATGAGGAAGATTGTCATCCACAAGTCCAGACAAAATGATGCGGACCACAGCTGGCTTTGCCAGCTCCACCTGGCTCCAATAAAGGACTGACTAGCATCCTTGGCAGTGGCTGGTGGGAGAGGCAGACGGAAGCCAACTGCCCCGAGGCTGGCCAGTTCTGGTGGAAGGAGGTGGGAGAGGAGAGGAAGCTGGGTGAGAGGGCCTCAGGCCCTCGGTATGGTGCAGAGAAAATGACTGACTGGGGGGAATTCAAGCCAATTAGATAGTGATCCTTTCGCACTCAGCCATCTGGAGATGCCTGTAAGGGGACTGTGCCTATAATTGGGAAGCTAACCTAAATGACAACTTCCAGATTTTAAAGGGAGTTGATAAAATTTTAAACCAAGATTTACTGAGTGCCTAATAGATAAACATGCTCTTTGGTAGGTGCTGAGGTTAATAAGGATAATAATCATTAATAGTGATAATAGGATGATGATGATGATGAGAATTGCCAGTCTTTCGTGAGTACTTACTAGGGCCAGATTCTGTTACATACCTTAGCCCATTTAATCTTGATAATTTTCCATAAGGTGGGTAGGCATTATTGTTATTATCATCCCCATTTTAAAAATGAGGAAACGGAGACCTAGGGAGTTTAATAATGTGCCCAGGGTCACAGAATTAGATGATACAGCTGGGATTCGAACCCAGGCAGCCAGACTCTTAAACTCTCTTCTATACTATGCTGAAATATATATGGTTGTGCACTTAATAGTCTAGTGCAAGAGGCAGACATGGAAGAAAATATATAATAATGGTGATGATCATAATAATTAATAGTAATAATAATAATCTGGTAGAACCTCAGAGTAATACTTCCCGCCACAAAGCAAATTCAGATATGACACAATTAAACATTGGATCTCATTGCTGGCTTCAAACTCATCCATACTCAAAATGTAACCGCACAGTAACTCAACTTGTATTTTTAGGATTAGGTTTTTTGGATCCCATTCATAGTGCTATGGAGGGGTGCCATTGTCTAGTAACAGTAGAGTAATAGTGAGAGTAGCTGGGTTGTATAGACCATGAGCCATGAAGGTGCTAATTCTACTTCTCTCAACCACACAGAAGAGTAAGTCATTTTATCCCTGCTGTACAGACGAAGGCTAAGAAGGTTAAATGATCTGTTCAAAGTTGCAGACTTAGTGAAGTAGTAGATCTGGGATCAGAACGGAGAGGGAATGGCTCCCAATCCAAGGCTTTCTTCACTCTGTCATCCAAGTAGTGGGATATATGATAAGACTGTACATAGTACAGTTCCACGGAGGAAAACAGTCAATGTTATGGAAGGTGTTTGCATCGGAGCAGGGCAGCTGGCATTTACTGAGTGCCCACAATGCTCCGGTTACTGCACTGGGAACTTAGCATGTACGCTATCATTTAATCGTTTGTAAAAACTAAGTCAAGCTTTCGGGATGGATAGGAGTTGTCTTAAGAGACTGAAGAGGGAGAGATGGCCATTCCCAGAGCAAGGAAGAGATGTAAAAAGCGTGAAGGCATGAGAGATTATGGTGAGTTTGAGGAGAAATTAAAATCATTGGGGTATTCCTGAAGCATAAAGGGCCCTGCAGAAGTCGACTGTAGGGTTGTGGAGGAGGGAGGACAGCGGTTACTAGAGATGAGCTTGTAAAAATAGAACTGGCTCCTGGAGGGCTTGGGTCTTTTGCTACAGATATCCTGTAGATGGCAGACTGAAGGGAGAAACCAGTCCAGCTAAGGAGTTAATTTTCTCAAAATCTTGAAAAGTAGGGCTCTTATTCTATACTTTTTAATGAACAAGGAAACTGAAGTTGAGAGAGAAAGATGAAGGAATAGCCAAGATCGTGCAGTTTGTAAGTAGCAAAGCTGGGCTCTTGACCCACTTCTTTCTGGCTCAAAAGCGCACATTTGTTTTACAATCCCATGATGTAGTTCTTGAAGTAGCTCAGTTCCAGAGATTGGAAAGGAAATGAATAGAAAGAAGGTGGACAGAAAGTGCTTGGCAGTTTCAGACCTGCTCATTCAAGATCGTCCTATTGTGTGCTCGCTTCAGCAGCACATATGGTAAAACTGGAACGATACAGAGAAGATGAGCATGGCCCCTGTGCAAGGATGATGCAAATTTGTGAAGCTTTCCATATTTTTATGAAGAAACCTTAAGAATTACGTGGGACACTATCAAGAAGAATAACCTACGAGTAATTGGAATACCAGAACATGGGGAGAATAACAGAAAATACAGAGAGAATTGTTGAAGATTTGTTGGCAGAAAACTTCCCCGATCTCATGAAAGATGAGAAGATACCTATCCAAGATGCTCATCCAACCCCACACAAGGCAGATCCCAAAAGAAAGTCACCAAGACTTATTATAACCAGATTTGCCAAAACCAAAGATAAAGAATTTTAAGAGCAGCTAGGGGTAAACGAAAAGTCATCTGCAAAGGAAAGTCAATAAGACTAAGCTCAGACTACTCAGCAGAAACCATGCAGGCAAGAAGGCAATGAGATGACATATATAAAGCCTTGAAAGAAACAAATTGCCAGCCAAGAATTACGTATCCAGCAAAACTGTCTCTCAAATATGATGGCGAAATTAGGGCATTTCCACATAAACAGAAGTTTAGGGAATTTGCAAAAACCAAAGCAAAATTACAAGAAATACTAAAGGGAGTCCTCTGGTTAGAAAATCAGTAACATCAGATAACAACCCAAGATTAGAACACAGGACAGAGCAACAAGATATCAACCCAGATAGGGAAGTCACAAAAATAAATCAAAGTTAAAATACTGAAAATAGGGAAACAGAGACATGAATATGTAAAAGACGACAACATTAAAACAAAAAAGAGAGACTAAATAATGTAGTCATAGATTATCCATATGGAGAGGAAGTCAGGGTGATAAAAGAAATAAAAGATCGGTTTAAACTTAGAAAAACAGGGGTAAATATTAAGGTAAGCACAAAGGAAACTAGCAATCCTACACATCAAAATAAAAAAGAAGAAAAACATAAAGACTCAGCAAATACAAAATCAACAACGATGAAAAGATGAAAAGAAAATACGTAAAGAAGATTGTCCTATTGTCTCAATAAATTACCTTGTTCTTATAGGTAGTTATTAAAAGCCCCAGTATTACCATTGCCACTATGAATCTTTGAAGCATCAGTCAAGCAAGACGATGTTGTGAGATGGAGCCACACCAGAGTTTGAGGAAAATGGCCGATTCAGATAAATGTGGAGCTTGTCTAACTTCTTCCACGTGTTAGGTTGCCACCGTTTAAATTGAAAAGTAGGGCTGGCAAGAGTTGCAGGTTCAGGATGAACCATGCACAGCAGCACCCAGTGAGGAATAAATCTGACCTCTAGCCCACCTAGTCCCAGCACCGAGCTGTGTCCACCTGGAGGAAAGAATCTGTTTTCTAACCCACACAAAGATGCCATATGGGTTAGCAGAAGCTACCCTCATGAAAAAAGTGTCCGTACATTTTCAGTTCCTATCAAAGGTTTGGAGGCCCTGGTAGCGCAGTGGTTAAGAGCTATGGCTGCTAAGCAAAAGACTGGCAATTCAAATCCACCAGCTGCTCCTTGAAAACCCTGTGGGGCAGGTCTGTTCTGTCCTGTAGGGTCGTTATGAGTCAGAATCGACTGGACAGCAAAGGGTTTATCGAAGGTTTGACCTAGTCTACACATTTTATATCAAGAAGCATCACCGTAACCACAGAAATCATGCTAGCCTTTAACTTCAAATTTGACGGCGCTTTCAACCTCTACTCCAAATTGGCATTAACCCTCCCGTGCGTTAGATATTCACGAGTGCCATTCCTTATTATTTTTTGTTTGTTTGTTTTGCTTTGCTTTTGCTTTTATTCTGCCCTAACTAGCGCGGAATGAGCTGTGGGGACAAGGGTCAGAGGATGTACTTTTCTACTCAGAAGTTGGCTGAACTTTGTCACGGTAGTTCCCTCTTCAGAAATCCAGTTTACTCAGCTGTGAAATGGGCATGCTAATACCTACCTCCCAATCCTGTTTGATGGGCACTGCCTGGCTGGGAGTGAGTGCTAAAAGTGGTCATGATTATTGGTGTGCTGTGTAAGAGCGTCCTCGCCCAACCTGGCTTGCAACTGCCATCAACCCAGATCGGCCAAGTGACAGGTTCACTCCAGAGGCAGATGGCTTCTGAATGACAAATAATGGGGATGGGTTCAAAATTGAGAAGTCTCAAGGGAGATGTGAGGACCAGTCTTACAGGTGGCCTTACCCACATCACCTTCAACCCAAACTATTTTTGGTAGCCTCTTCTTGAACATTTCTTAGGCTGAAATCCAACTCAGCGTGCACTTTTGTTAGCATTACATTGTGTTCTGTGCATATTGGAGCTCTAGCGGTGCAGTGGTTAAGAGCTCAGCCGCTAACCAAAAGATGGGCCGTTCAAATCCATCAGCCGCTCCTTGGAAGCTCTGTGGGGCAGTTCTGCTCTGTCCTGGAAGGTCGCTTTGAGTTGGAATTGAGTTGACAGCAATGGCCTTGGTTTCTGTGCATATAGCTGTGCATAAATTTTATGTATAATAAATATTTAGATTATCCATTAATATAGGTATCTGCATTGTCTCCTTTAAATCTTTGCTCAGATGAGTCTTCTCAGTGAGGTCTACCATGACCACTGAATATAAAATCCAACCTTCCTCATAGCACTCCTTTTCCTGCTTTTTTGCTTTATTTATTTATTTTTTCCTTGGCGTTGATCACCTTCTAAAATGCTATTTATTTGTTATTTTGTTCTGTTTTTGTGTTCTCCCCTCCACTCCACCATCAGAATGCAGATCTATGAGGGCAAGAATTTTGGTCTTTTATCATAATTTTTTTTTCCCAGTACCTAGAAACAGTACCTGAAATTCAGTAGGTGGTCAATATTGGAGAAAGGAAATGATGTTATTATTGCTTTTCTCCTCTAATATCCAGGACCCAATAGTTTACCTGTTTTGCATAAACTTATCAATAAAAGGTTCTTTTTTTTTTTTTTTTTTGGCAGTCTAGATACAGTTCCAGACATAGGGTAAACTAATTAGCATGCTCAAAAGTTCTACCTCGCCCATCATTTAGGAAAACAAGAGTAATGCCCCTAGTTGTTGACAGTGATGCATATTACTCCGTGGGGTAACAGGCAGTATGGTTTTCTTTGTCTGTTTCCCAGAAAGAAATCAAATTAAAAAGTACCTCTTCAACCTATGAATTTCCTCCCACGGTGTTATTAAAGATCCCTAAGACTGTAATGTCAGTCTGAGCTACTGCCTAACGGATAGTAGTTAAAGACTTAAATCTTGACTCAAACATCGTGGTGATATTGTTCCAAAAGGGAAAAAAGAAAATAAATTCTGTCTGCTGCAAATCCCTTAATGAACGTGGAAATACTTGTTTATACATCATCAAATATGTGTGTGTGTATGTGTATGTGTGCATTGGTTTTGAACAATGGTTATTTCAAGCAAGCAAAGAAATTTAATTTTCTCATCTATACAGAACATTAGTATGGAAATAATGAGACTTTTTTTGGTGACTTAATTGATCCACTGAATTGTCAGATGCCAGTTGAATGGCTAAGGCAGAATAAGATGGTAAAGTTGTTTTTTTTTTTATCATTAAAAAAAAAGTAACAGAGGTTTTGGGCAAAATGGCGCTGTAGGCAGAAGCACCACGCCGTCCCTCCACAGGAAAGATCTGAAAAACTAAGCCGAACAGAGAAAACAACAATCCTGAAACCCTAAAACATCAAACGAAGAGATAAAGAACTCAACCAAGCACCAAATGGAGTGAGAAAACTGACTGAGAATGGAGAGCGAGGAGAGATTCATGCAGAGGTCCCATACCAGCTAATGCAGCGTGGATCTGCCATCTTGGACTCCTATCAGAGACCAGCAAACGGGATACGAGAAAGCAGCCTCACGGAGCTTCCAGAGGGAGACAAAACAACCGGTAATTGGCGATATACGCTTTCCCACCCCCCACCCTTCTTCACCCTCACTCGGCCTCCTCTGCTTCCCGAGGCCACAATCTCTTGACCGGGAAACACCAGCTGCTTGGATTCCACACACCCGAACGGGCCAGCTCTCTGAGTGCCATTTGTTGGCTGCTGGTGTTGCTTGTTTCCACTTCTTTTGATTTCTTCCTTACCTCTCGCCACCTCCCCCTCCTTTCACTCAAATACCTGGCTCCGTGCGCCATCTTTGCTTCTTCCTGAGGGGCTGTGGAGCTCCGTTCGAGTGTGATATACGCTTTCCCACCCCCCACCCTTCTTCACCCTCACTCGGCCTCCTCTGCTTCCCGAGGCCACAATCTCTTGACCGGGAAACACCAGCTGCTTGGATTCCACACACCCGAACGGGCCAGCTCTCTGAGTGCCATTTGTTGGCTGCTGGTGTTGCTTTTTTCCGCTTCTTTTGATTTCTTCCTTACCTCTCGCCACCTCCCCCTCCTTTCACTCAAATACCTGGCTCCGTGCGCCATCTTTGCTTCTTCCTGAGGGGCTGTGGAGCTCCGTTCGAGTGTGGAGCTGCTGCCCGGTCTGGGCAGTCGTGCTGGTGGGATCCCGGGGCTTTTGTTCATTTGTTTGTTTTGAATTGTTTGTTTGTTTTCTTTTCCTTTTCTTGAGTTGGGAGCCCTTTCTGGCCAGGCGGTGCTGCGTGGCAGGGGGACTTCCCCCTTGGCTTGCACAGACGTGCAGAGGGATCCCTGAGAGCATTTCTTTTTTTGTTGGCTTTTTTTTTGTTTTGTTTTTTGGGGGGCCTTTCTTGTTTTTTTTTTTTTTTAATTTGTTTTCTTTTCCCTCTTTTTCCCTTTTTGTCTTTCTTCATTGCTCAGTTTCTCGTCATTCTATATCTTCCTTCTCTTTCTGTTCCCTGAATACCTGGCATAGTATACCTCTACACCTTCTAGCCAGGCTGTACTACAACACCTGAGAGTGACTTCCCCAGACCTCATAGCTGCACTGGTGGGATCCCTGGGAAATTTGTGGTTCTTTAACCTTTCTGATGTTTATTTATTCATTCTTTTCTTTTCTTCCTCTTCCCCTTTCTTTTTTTCTCCATTTCATAGTCTCTCATCTCTCCACTCCAGTGGCAAGTTCCCCTAGCATTCTTTTTTGTTT